AAAGCTTTTCAGCGAGCTAAACCTGTCCCTTTAAGTGGTTCATATTTAGCATTCCATGCTCAGTGGTGACCTACACAAATGGTAAATGAGACTGTCAGCACCCAGTTTCAAGTATAGGTATATGGACTAGTGGTCTTAGCAAGCCTGAGATTTTTACCGCTATTTGACTGTTTGCATTAAAAGTAATGGCAAGATTTAGGTGTCTATAAATACCTAGAATTCCCAAATGTGGGCTTAGAGTTTCTGATTTAGAAAGGTATTTGTTGACATCATAAGTGTGTCCTGCCTAAAATCAGCTAATCCTATCATCTGCGTCAGGGCTCAAAATGTCAAATCGCCACTAGCTTTTGGCAAGTTAAAATATAGCATTGGCGGGTAGAAATACACTCCTGTTAAATATGCCATTTTCCCTGCAGTGGCAAGTAACTTTTAAGCCCTGGCTAGAAGCGTAGGCCTTGGAATTTTAAGCCCTGATATGTGTAATATCGACATCTAAAAAACCTACATTTATGACCAGTCTGAAAGAACACAGGGCTAGTAATAAACTGCTTTAATAACACCTCCAGTCAGACAAGCTCTCTAATTATCTCCACCCACAACTTAGTGTTAAATATCACATATCGTGTAAGCTTTGGTAGGACATGCTCATCATAGTTAAATTGTTATTTTAGTCTATTTCTTACCTAAGTTGCATTCCAAATATGACAATCCATTTTTATGACAATACACATTTTTATGAGGTCTGTTCCCTTAGAGGTAATTTTTTAACCAATAATGCTGCTGTTTTTTTCATTTTATTCTTACCATTTTTAAAGATATTTTAGAAAGCTATCTGCTGTATACATATTGTGTATTATTATACTACTCCTGAATCTTCATCACTGCATAGAAATGATTGTACATATTGATGGTAATTTTTTACATTAAACTGTATCCATGGAGTAAAATAGAACCTTTAAATGAGTAACCACCATTATGAAACATTATGAAAACGATTCCACTGAGATGTAAGATCTTTCCACTATTTAAT